TCCCTCCGGCCCCCGCGCATCGCAAGCCCCGCTCACCGGATGCCACGCCGAGATGAGCCGCGCCCTCAGGCCCCGCCCCCAAGCCCCCGCCCCCACGAGGCCTCGCCCAGCGCAGCCCCGCCCTTCAGAGCCTCAGTCCGGCCTTCCCGGTCTCTTGGGCTCGGGGTCACAGGGTGGGGTTCTTGCCCTCGGTCCGGGCTTGGAGCTCTTCTCCCAGCTGAACCTGACCTGCCTGCCGCTAGGCTGGACGGACCCGGGCGCCCCCCGGGAGCGCGCCTGGAAAATCGTGGCTACGTAGGGTGTGGGACCTGGGCTCAACCACCCTCAAGGTGGACCAGCTCCTTTGCTCAATTCACTATTGGGCTGGGTGGCAGGTCTTCCAGAGGGAGGGAGAGGGGGTGGCCTAAAGGCCTCTGGCTCTCAGCATGGTGTTCCAAGCTCAAGTCCAAAGGCTCCAGGGGCATTCTGCCCCTTCAAGGGGCACCAGGGCTGCTGGACAGTGGGGCCTCCCTCCTGAGGCTCAGGGAGAGGGCTGGGCTTCTGGAAGGGCACCGAAACCCTGCAGGCGCTGCCGGGAGATGGTGGTGTTGGGGGTCTGGCCCACCGGGGCAGAGCTTGCCCCTGCCTCTGGGTCCCTGAGCTCTGGGTGCAGGTCATGTCCCAAAGCACTTGCCTTGAAGGCCGGCTGATCTGGGGGATGTGACCTCCTTGCCCGAGGCCACAAGGAGCCGTGTGCCCTTCTCACAGGCTGATCCTCACCCTTCCTCCCACCAGGCTCTGTGCTGCCTGGGACTAGCAGCACACCTCCACCTCCTCAGGGAGGTGGTCAGGGGCGGGGCATCTGCCCCTTACCCAGGGCACGCTCTTCATGTGTGGGTGGTGCAGTGCTCCCCAACAAGGGCAGCAACCTGACCTGTGAGGGCAGCCTCCCACGTGGTGCTTCTGCCCAGCTCCTGCCGCTCTCGCTCAGCGCTCCCCGTGCAGAAGCTATCTTGCACCCTAGGGGCTGTGCCTGCTGCCCAGCTCCAGCTGGCCAGTGGGCTTGCTCCCGGCCACGCTTCCCCGTGCCTCACCAGTGCTTGGCTGGGGAGGCCCAGCACGGAAGTGGGGGAAGGAGCGACACCAGCTCAGCCTGAGGCCTAGGGCTGAAACCCGGAGTTCAGAAGGTGAAGGCAGGGCCTGGTGCAGGCCTTGGCTGAGCAGGCTGGGGTTCAGAGGAGGGTGGCCGGTCCCAGGAGAATGCCCTCCAGCGAGCACATCATCCGAGGCCTGGGCCTGGCGGAGCCTGGGGGATGTTGCCCTCTCCTATCTGGTGAGGAAGCACGCTTGGGCCACCGCTGGTCACTCCCAGTGGGGGCAGCAAGGGGTCTGGGACCAAGGCCAGTGGACAGAAGTCCTTCAAAATGCTGCTACAGGGTCAGTGTCACTGGCTCCAGTTTGGGACCATGGCAGGTTCCTAGGTGCCGTGGGCACAGAGGGACTGGGTGTGAGGGCAGGAGGCATCATCTCTCCACCCGACCAGGCCAGGGGAGGCTGTGTCTCTCTCCTGGGGGCTAGCCCTGGGGTGTGCCGTGCTGTGACAGGAGGGCTAGGCCGGCTGGGCTCTGTGGGGACAGTGGCCACTGGGCCACACTCCAGAGACTGGAGTTGGCAGGGGTGGGGCAGAGTGCAGGCACTGTTCAGACTCCTGGGGCGGGGTCTTCCCCCTGAAGGGCAGGTCAGAACCCAGAAAGCAGAGCATAGACTTGTCTCAGGCAAATGGAAGCCGGAACTTAGGAGCTGGGCCGCACCGGCCCCCCGCTGACTGCAAGAAACTGTGAGCGAGGGGTCCAGAGCTTTGCTCACCCTTGCGTGGGGCCATCAGGGGCCTCTCTTGGCCTTTGAGGGATTCTCACAGGTGTTTCCCAAGACATCTCCCCCCCCAGGAATTCCTTCCCTTGTCAGGAAGTTTGTTGTTTCAGGGATTGATGGGGGTGTGAGGGGGAGGGGGTTGTCCCCCGGGGTTCCATCCCCATATTCTGCGATCGCCCCGGCGTAGACCTCGTGGTCACGCACACACAGGCCTGCACGTGTTGGCTCACACAGTTTATTGACAGGCTTGTGGGGGAGGCTGGGTGGTGCAAGTGGGCTGGGGGCTCTGAGGGCCCAGGTGAGGGGCAGCCTTATCTCTGGCACTGAGTGTAGGGCCTACAGGGGACTTCAGACTTGGCCCTGCTGGGTCCAGGGCAGCAGGAAGTGGCCACGGAGTCCTGCAAGTGCTGCTCAGACCCCAGGCCCTGGGGTGCTTGGGCCTGGCCCAGAGCCAGGGGATAGAGCAGGAAGGTCTGAGCGTGCTCTGTCGAGAGAATTCCTGGCCTCAGGGGCTGGTGACCACCCGGGCTACAAAGATGACCTTGCAGGTCCCCTTCACATCCCCCCTGAGCTGCAGCAGTGCGGACGCCATGACTGGGTGGTCCGGCTGGAACAGAGGTGGGGGAAGGGGCCCTCAGCCACGGGGTACCCAGCAGATCTGTGGTCCTCCCGCTGCGCTGTGCTGCCCACCTCACCCCCAGGGCCCTCCACAGCCACCCTCTCCCTGGGGAGGGGCGGGGTGTCAGTGCCCAGCCTCTGGCATCCCAGGGCTCCCTACATCAAAGTCAGCGGGTGGCACCCAGGAGACGCTGATGGTCTTGGTCTGGCCACGCTCCACGAAGCCGCGGGAGGGCTCAATGGAGAAGCCCTTGTGCTGCAGGGACGCGGTGTTGTCCAGGCTGAACTCCACAGTCTGCAGGACATGCAGCTGCTGTGGGCTGGAGGCCAGGCCCGTGCCCAGGAACAGCAGTCCAGGGCTCGGGGCTCCCGGCTCCACTGCCCTCTCACTGCTGACCGGCAGCCTGCCCACCCTGGCCTCCTGCAGGAAGACCCGCCCAACCCTGGGAGTGGCCAGCCAGAGGGGCCAGGGCTGGGTCACCTTCTTTGGAGACAGCTGGGTGGTCCGGATGCAGCCCACCTGCAGCTCTCGGGTGGCAGGTGGGGCTGGTGTGTCTGTGTCTAACTGGACATAGTCCAGGGTCAGCAGGATGGGCCTCAGCTCCTCAGTGTCTGGAGAGGGAGGGCCTGGCCGGGAGCTGACTGGGGGAGGGTGTGGCGGGGTAAGGGGTGGGTTGGAGTCCTCCTGAAATTCCAGGGCTCTGGGTGGCCTGGGAACCCCCCCGCCGACTCTGCTGGACCTGGTACTCCCGCTCCAGGCTAGGTGTGCGGGGAGGTCCTCTGGCTGTTGCCTCCCTGGGGGCTGCTCACCCTCTCTGTGCTCGGGGTCCAACATGGGGGTCTCCACCAGAGACTCCACTGGGACATCCAGGGGGTCTCCACCCTCCACGAACATCATGTGGTCCCGGGCAGCACCCTTCAGGAGGATCTGGTGCGAGACTTTCTGGGGACAAAGAGCACAGCGACCTCATCACTGCAGCTCCGTGGCTGGGGCCCGGGGCATGGGGGATGGGCTCCGAGGTGGGGGCAGGGGCGTATGGGGGCCCTGAGGCACCCTGTTCTCTCCCGGTCTCTCGCCCCCAAGGCAGTGCGAAGGAGGGCTGCACCTTTCCAAAGAGTACGACTTGGAGTCGGTCTGAGAAGTAGAGGCTCTCGTGGTCGGGGCTGAAGGTCACAGTGAAGTCCTGCGTCCTCCCGGGTTCCAGGACGCCCTCCACCGGGGCCACGCTGAACACGCTCTGGCCGCTGAGGTTCTGTGTGCCTGGGGGGGACGGCATGTCCCAACCGCCCCACCACAGCCTTTCCCCCCAACCCTGCTCCAAGAGCTCTGAACCCGACGCCTCCCGCAGGGCCCTGTCCCGCTGGGTCCCCCAGCAAGGTCAGGCCAGCGCTTCCTTGCTGCCCCCCCACCCTTGGCCCTTTGGCCCCTCCCCCCGTGGTCCTGTGCATCCTCCGCTCACCGACCACCTCGGTCCTCTGATTGGGTGAGGTGAGGAACCGCGGCAGCTGCTGCCGCTCCTGGGCCCTGGTGCTGGCCAGGCTGTCCAGCTGCAGGGAGAACTTGACGGGGAGCGCTGAGCTGTTCTGCAGCTGGACAAGCAAAGAGCAGGCCACTTCCCACTAGCCTGTCCCTGGGCTGGCAGCGGGGCGGCTGCCCCCTTCCTCCTGTCAGTGCCTCCGATTTGGTCCCCTGCCTCTGGGTCCCACGTGTGGGACCTAGCTGGCACTGGCATTCAAGCTGCACCCAAGGGCCTCCAGCACCAGCGCCAGCACCAGCGCCAGCACGCAGGCAGCTCACTGTGCAGCGTACCCCGCCTCCCCTGCCCAGTGTGCGTGGACAGCTCTGCAGGGCCATCTGTCCCCCAGGGCTCCTCTGAGGTCGGGATCAGGCCCGGCTTAGTGGAGGCTTTAGTGCCGTCGTGTCTCCCCGGCTCTCACCCCTCTCCTGAGAGCACCCTCCTCACTCCGACCCCGTCTTGGGCTTTGTGTCCAGGACTCGACTGGAGCCAGCCCAGTCCTGCAGGCTGCAGGCTGCAGCAACCCAGGCTGGGGGTCCCAGGTAGAGGCGCCCTGGACCAGGCCCACCCTCGTGCATAGGGTGAGGTCAGCAAACCCTCGACTCTGGCGAGTGGAAGGGTGAGTGCTGTGCCGTGGCCGAGGCAGAGGGACGGGAGCACTCAGGGGCCAGGCAGGCTGAGGGGAGGGGAGGCAGCCCCGTCAGCCTTCCCAGAAGCTGAGGCCCTGCGACTCCACTGGAGAGGGCAGCAGAGAAGGAAGCCGTAGTGTCAAGGGGGACTTGTGCCTCCATGGGCCCCAACCTGTGGGCACTTTGGCAGGCTGGTGGAGATCCCCCCAGGAGGCTGGGGCTGGCACCCAGGCCATGGCGTGCTCTACCTTGAAGCCTGAGGACACGGACTCTCCGGCAATCACGTAGCCCATGTTGAGCACGTTGCCTTCAATGGAGCAGGTGATCATGGATGCCACCCCAGTGCCCAAGAGGGTGAGGGTGAGTGTGCCTCTTTTGGTGATGATGTCCAGCATTTCCTGGGCCTGAGGAGACCGCATTCCTTAGCCAGCAGCAGAGGGCTGCCAGAGGCACAGGGACAGCAGGGCTCCCTGCTTCCGAGGCCCGCTGCGAGGTGAGGCAGGGCCAGGTTGCTCTGGGACCCAGCCTGGGGCCCACACCCTGCTGCAGCATGGGGCGGGCAGCAGCCTGGCCTGGGACCCAGGACTCACCAGGACACTCTCATGGGGCGAGAAGGACAGCACCAGGACCTGCGTCTCGCCTGTGCGCAGCTTGCTGCAGGGATTCAGCAGGACGAAGGGGCCATTGGGGTTCAGCAGGGAGAACTCCAGCTGTGGGTCCAGCGTCAAGGAGGGAGGACCAAGCCTGCTGGCCACAGCCACCCGGGCCCGCCCCCGTGGGCTGGCGTGGAGGATACAGAAAGGTCCTCAGGGGCGATGTTCTGAATGGAGACCTTCTTCATGCTGCGGTGTCCTGGGATGGGTGGGGAGTCAGGCGGAGGAGCAGCCCTGCCCTGGGGAGGGGTGTGTGAGGGGGAGCGGGCGTGGCTAGGGCCCCGCGTGGGCATGTGTGGACTCACCCACGGCCACATGGCCGAAGTTAAGGATGGTCTTGCCTCTCTCGGATGTCACCACGATGGATGGTGCCACCGCTGGGCACCACAGCTCCAGGTACAGGGTGTTGTGGGGGCTGGGGGCAGGGCGAGGGCAGGCTGAGGCCAGGGTGGGGGCCCCAGCCGCCCAGGCCCCCACTGGGCAGCAGCAGAGGACTGCAAATGTGCAGGCATCTGCGCTCCGTCCTGAGAGCAGCCACACCTGAAGCTCGGGGGTTCTGACCCCTGCCTGGCTTGGAGGTCGTCACTGGCAATGACACAGGGCACCACGAACTTGTCAAACCTCCCCTGGAAAGCTCTGGTCAGGTTGGCCTGGGCAGCCTGGTACTCTTCGGAACTGGAATGAAGCCAGGGGATCACCCACGTCCTGCCTGCTCTTACCCACCGGCAGTCCGGACCGCCTTCACGGCTAGGCTCCAGACTCCCTCCCCCCAGCTGCTCCCTGGGCCCAGGGCTCCTCCTCACTCTGTCAGTTGCTCCCTAGGCCCTGGGCTCCTCCCCATCCTACTAGCTGCTCCCTGGGCCCTGGGCTCCTCCTCAACCTGTCAGCTGCTCCCTAGGCCCTGGGCTCTTCCTCACCTTGTCAGCTGCTCCCTGGGCCCTGGGCTCCTCCCCACCCTGCCAGCTGCTCCCTAGGCCCTGGGCTCCTCCCACCCTCCATCAGCTGCTCCCTGGGCTCTGGGCTCCCAACGATCTCTCTGGGAAAAGCCAGCAGGGGGTGGGGTGGCAGCCTGGGGTTACACTGGATCCCAGGCTGACTGTCCCAGATTTCCTGCCTTCCCTGGCTTCTGTGGCCTCCTTGCCCTCTCTGGGTCCTGGTCAGCCTGGGGTGGGGCCTGGAGTGACGGCTTTCCCTCCCAGCTAGAGTGCCGTGGTTCTGGGGCCACAGGTGCCCGTGGGCATGGGTTGGCACTGAGCTGGGCATTGCCTGCCCTCGTCCCCAGCCCTTAGAGGGCTGGCCATGGCTTCCACTGTGTCTGAAGCCTGCAGCCCTGGGCTGTGTGCAGGCCGTCTGTGGGGGACACCTCCATGGGGAGTGGAGTGGGTCCCGTTTGAGGCCTGCAAGGAGGTGGTGGGGCAGCCCTGAGACCCACCTGGCCTTGAGCTCTGAGGTGTGGGGGGCGGAGGCCCGGAATTGCCGGGCCCGGTTCTGGGGCCGCAGCATGGAGAGGGACTGTCTCCGCCCCTCCTTCCTCTGGGTGACTGGGTCCTTGTGCAACTGTGAGGGGAGCGGCAGCTGCGAGCTCTGGCCTGGGCCCCAGTCTCAGGCCTGTTGAGCAGGGACCCCGGGACACAAAGTCGCTGGCTCCAAGGACTGCCCGGGCGTGGACAGGACTGGGCCCCAGAGACAGATGGTGTCGAGGGGCACCACGTTCTGCACACAGACTCCAGGGGCCTCATGTCTGCCTTCACCAGCGGGGAAACCGAGGCATCAGGCGGGGTGAAGAGCCCACAGGAACCGTGCTGGCCTCCGGTGCGCTGTGAGGACTGGGGCCCACCCTCAGGAGGGTCACCAGGAGTGGTTCCCCCCACCCGCGGTACCGTGGGTGGCCTAGGACCGCCCAGCAGCCTCCCCAGTGCTGTGCACGTGAGCTCCAGTCTGTGCAGGACGAGATCCTGGTTTGGAGGGACATCCTGAGTGCCCTTCGCTGTGATGCCCAACTGACATCCTCTGCCGGCGCCCCCCGTGAGTGGACTTCGCAGGGGAAGGAGGGGTCTTGGGAGCACTCTAACCTCTGGGATATGCTTGACACACTCAGAGCTCCAACAAGCCAGCCTGCACCCCTGGCATGCAGGTGCTGAGGGTCTTGAGGGCAGGGGGGCTTGTTTCCCAGACAGGTGGAAAGCTGCAGCCCCCAGATGCCCCCATGCCCGCCATTCAAGGGCCCAGACCCCGCCCCCGAGTCTTCACACCCCTTCCCAGAGTCCCCG